GAGCAGCTGAAACACGGAGCAGCTGAAACACGGAGCAGCTGAAACAGATTCCATCAGATTTGTTAGAAACGAACCACACACAAGCAACAGTTTCGGCTGTTTCTTCCAACAGAAAACTGAAGACCGAGTCTCAACACAACTTTATTTATAAAGGTCTTTAAAACACGTTGGACAAAGTGCTGGAAGAGATTTCAGAACCAAGGAGGTCCAGTTGAGGACAGAGTTTAACGTGAATGTTATTTTAATCAAGTTTGTTCTAAACACATCTTCAGTTTGAAAGTAAAAATAAAACCTTTATGACGTCATCACAATGTTTTCACCTGGTGTTTTCCTAAAAACCGTGACTGGACAAACTAAACCAGTTCGTCTTTACTGGGACTCTAATAAAACCATTTAGGTTCGATGGCTTCATGAATCAGAACCTCCGGATTTATTAACGGGCCCACGAGATCAGGGTTCGGGTCAGTCCGGTAGGGGGTCCAGTTCCTGGGGCCGGTCCCGGGTCTGAGTCCTGCAGCCGGACTCGAGGCCGCTGCTCGGCTGTTAGCTCGATGCTAACAGGAAGCGGCTCCTGGTTCTTCTGGACCCTTCGGGTTTTTCTCACATCCGGTTCGGTCCGACTCTCTGAAAACAGCAGGCTTTAATGTCAAGGTCAGCTCGGTCCAATTAGCCATCCATGACTCCATGAAACGGAACCGACCGAACCAGCTGGCGGGTTCAGGCGGTTCGGTCCGGCCCGGTTCGCTCCAGCTAACGGTGTTAGCGGCCCAGGTTTCACCAACAACCGGCGAACCGGAGCCGGGATGTTGGTTCCGACAGAGCTCTGAGGCCCGCTCAGGCCCACAGCTGGTACCGGCGGGGCTGCTGGTTCCGAGCCGGGATGGATCCGAACCTCCGGGTCGGCTCGCGTGGTCCGGGTGAGGCTTACCTTGAGGGTGGAGGTGAGGCGGTCCGGTTCCGCTCCGTGTGCTGACCCAGTGTTCTTACGGAGCCGAACCCAGCAGAACCGAACCCTCCGAGCTGGACTCAGCAGCACGGAGTGGACACGACAGGCTCCGGAACCGAGCCGCGCATCGGCTCAGACCACGATCCGGTTCCGATCCCACAACATAATAACCAGAATTCTGCGTGCACGCGCGCGCGCGCGCCGTTTATTCATAAATGGCATTAAAGGAGAAGATGATGAAGAGGAGGAGGAGGAGGAGGAGGAGGATTCACCTCGGAACCACCTGCTCTGAGTCCGGGACGGGTTTCCTCCAAACCATCTGCAGAACTGGACCCAATCCCGCAGAACTGGACCCAATCCCGCAGAACTGGACCCAATCCCGCAGAACTGGACCCAATCCCGCAAAACAGAACGAACATAAAGTCAAGAAGCTGCGCGGCGCAGAGGACGATGGGAGATGTAGTCTCCATTATTGATGGCTTCTTTTCAGCAACATGGCTGAAGACCTGAACTAGAACACCCGAGACCCTCACCTGTCTGGACCTGAACACTCGAGACCCTCACCTGT